ATTTATATATATATTTATATATATATTTATATATATATTTATATATATATTTATATATATATTTATATATATATTTATATATATATTTATATATAACCTCCAGTGCCTGCAAACACATGCTCCTTTGTTAATTCCACCTGATAAATACCTCTCTCTCTTCTTGCTTTTTGGGACACTGCAGCATCCTGTTTTGGATGATCATGTCTCCTGTTTTTTGTTTTGTTTTGTTTTCCATGCAACATTTTATCTTTCAGTAAAAACTCTTTGCTTTATTTTTAGCAGAGTATAAGTTTGGTGCTTCATCATGACAGGCCCTACCTCAGTTCTGTTGCATTAGAATCCATGAGACTGGGTCCAGGCATCTGTATTTCAACTAGTTTCTCCATGTGATCCTTATGCTCAAAGGCTGACATTTGCAAAGCCCTTCTCTTTTCACTCAAATGATATTTCTGCAGCATAAGTATAGCTATTTCTATATTAAGCTGCATCACTAAGAGGAGAGAAGTAGAGAGGTGATTGTTTTGTTCTTCCTTGAACATATCTGTAAAAATTGTGTGGGGGCAGCATCTGATCTCCTCTAACTTCACGAGGGAGGAGAATCCAGCAGGCTGATTTCTATGAGGTGGAGATCAGAAATATCTCCTCTCTCCACCATCTTTACTAGTTCTGACACCAACCGTCCCTCCCATGGCACTCTCTACTTCTCTGCCAGGTTCAATAATTCATTGCAATGGCCACACAGAACTCACACACAATACTCATGATTATGGGGTTTATTAGGGAAGTAACAGGTTATAATTCAGGCTCAGGAACACTCAAGATACAGTTCTTCCATCAGGGCAGCCTCTTTTCAGTCGTGCCACAGGCACACCTCTCTCTGGTCCCTCAGCTTCTGCCCTGCTTCGGTAAGCATTACAAAGCTCTTTTAGCTCTGCTGATAAGTACCCCAAGGCACCCAACTCAACTGGTAAGCCTGAGTCTGAAGGTGCTCAGCTCTAGCTCCATAGATCAGCATATCTAGCTCTATCAAGTGCCCAGAGGCACTCTACTCCTCCAGCAAACCTTCTGCCCAAAGGCACTCATCTTTCTCACTCTGTGGGCTGGGAAGCCCACCACACCGTCTCCTGCTGCTGGTCTCTGCTGCGGTGGTTTCTCTGCCACTGCTTCTTGACATCTTCAGTGTTACAGCTCTCTCTCTCTCTCTGCCTTGGTCTCTTGGTTCCAGGAGCTTCTCAGCGCAGGGATCCCAGGTCCAAAGGACGTGCTTCACTCTTGGCCTTCTTCCTTGGTGGTGGTGAGATCCTCCTTCTGCTCTGGAATTGGCTCTCTTTTAAGGCAAAACTGAACAATTTCTGTAGTGGGCCACAATTACCTTATTTGTACAGTCCCACCCAATCAGTTGGGTGGGAGTTACAATACCATGGTGAGAAAGGCCACACAAAGTGATTCATCACACTGCAATATCAGATCCAACCTAGATTGTTTAGTTATCCATTTTGGGACGATATACCAACACACTTTAAGATGGACGTTGCCTAATTGTAGCATTTCTAGAAAAGGTGGCCAGGATAGAAATAATGTGCAAACCAGGACTTGAAGAGTGATTAAAGTGTCAAAGAGAGAAATTGATAGCAGATATCTTGCTTTGATTTTGGAGTTTTCTTACCCACAAAACCAAATATTCACTTTAAAGAAATCCCAGACCAAAATTAATCCACCATCGACTTTTCTTTCACCCAGAGTGAAATCTTTTCTTTCCTGTTCAAAGCCAGGCTTATTAAATTTGAATTTCAAAAGATATGGTTATGTGGAGGGCCAAAGACCATCTTGTGACCTGATAACAGTTTATCTCAGTAAAAGGGGAGGGCATGGTTCAATCAATCATGTTAAGATTAGCCAATGGTTGTTCTTCTATATTTCTCTGTCCTCTTCTTTTTATGAAGGAGCTTTGGTGGTGCAGTGGTTAAAGCAATCGACTACTATCTGAGAGGTCAGTGGTTTGAAACCACCAGCTGTCCCATGGCAGAAAGATGTGGCAGCCTGCTTCTGTAGAGATTCACAGCCTTGAAAACACTATAGGGTTGCTATGAGTTGGAATCGACTCAATGGCAGTGGGCTTGGTTTGGTTTTTGGTTCTATTTATAAGCTTCATTGTACCTAGCTTCTTCTAGCGATTTGCTTTTTGTGGAATCAAAATCATTTCCCTATATGCATATGGGATAACTGCTCAGAATAAACCTTACGTTCAAACTTCATTGTTATTGTTGTAGCTTGTTAGGTGCCATTGAATCGGTTCCAACTTATAATGACCCTATCTACAACAGAACGAAACACTGCCTGGTCCTGCGCCATCCTCACAGTTGTTGCTATGTTTGAGCCCATTGTTGCAGCCACTGTGTCAATCCATCTTTTGAGGGTCTTCCTCTTTTTCACTGACCCTCTACTTTACCAAGCATGATGTCCTTTTCCAGGGGCTGGTCCCTCCCGATAACATGTCCAAACTACATGAGAGGAAGTGTTGTCGTCATTACAAGCCAAGAATGTTTTTCTTAAGAGAGCCATTTCTTTGAAATGTAAACCTCAAGGAAGAGGGAGCCCCACCTCCCCGTCACCATGGGAGTTTAGCCTAGGCACCTTGCTACAAACTGTTACTACCTGCTTGTCATAGAGATGTGAGAAGTTTTATTTTTCCTTTGGACAAAGGCAAATAACTAGCACATATGACCACCTGGGTTACCAGATGAATGTAGAATCAAGTATGTAAGAATGTGGCCATGAGTCGGAATCCAGCGGGTTTGGTGTTTTTGTTTTTATGTAAGAATGTATAGCAAATGATGCTGTCAAGTCCTCTCACAGGAGGACAAGTTACTGTTTACCTTGATAACATGTATATAATGGATTGTACGTGCAGGATTACATATAAAGGTGAGGTTTATTTTTCTCTTTGCAATTTCATTAGGGGTTCTCCTGGGATCCACATCACAGTCTGGTTTAATGCTTATTCAATAAAACTATTTTCTTTCTGTCCTGTATTTATGGAGAGGATTTTCTGGGCTGACAAAGATTTTTAATTTTCCCCGAACTGCATTTAAGAAACAATTGACCAACAACACTGTTGCACTGCTTTAAAAAATGATCAGTCATTGTTCTTGGATCCTATTTCTGAAAAAACGACATTTTTACATAACCATAAGCATAGTACCTCTGAGAGATAAGATCACAGGCATCTCTTTTCTTCTTTTGGTTTGCATGTATTGTCTGATTTTTCTACAGTTTTTACGTATTACGTAATCTAGAAAAACCCACCATTTTTTTTTCCTTCCTTGGTGAAACCTTCTGTCCCTGGGTAATATTCTTTTATTGCATCGCTGGGCATTTTTTGTATCCTAGTATTTTAGCTTTTGCTGTTGTTGTTGTTTTAGTATATTAGTGAGTCTTCTAGTAACTTTAGTTAAGCGAAGAGGATACACTTTTCTCTTTCCTTATCCTGGCTGTAGGGAAAATGCAGTTCTAATTCAAAAAGTTTTAGAGAAAGGAAAGGACTAGGACTCCAGCACGCAATCACGCAGTCCGCTACGCGAGTCAAGACACTTCGACACATGCTAAATTGAGTCGGGGTTCTGGACATACAATCCTCCTACCAGACTGCGCCTTTTTAACCGCTACATATGGTGGAGACATTCCCTACAAGTGGAGGCGCATTGACTTATGGGAACTGGAGTCTAGGTATTTGCAGTGTTACCAGCAGTGGAAACTGGTGGGCAGACTTCCGGTGTTTTTTGCGCGTGCGCACCTAGCCCTGCATGCGTGTTCGTGCATGCGCACTGCCGCCGCGCTGCTCTCGCTTCCGGTCCCTCCGCAGGTCGCTGCTCGCACTCGTTCCCAGGCTTTGGCCTCTCATTGGGGGGAATCTCGGCGCCTGCGGGTGTGGGCGCCGGCCTGCTGGGGCGGTAGCCAGGCTAGCGCGGGGCTGTGCGGGCAAGGGTTCGCGCAGGCCAGGCGAAGCTCGAGCGGGGTTCCCCGGGCGCGACCCCGGAGCCCGCGGCTCTTTGGCCAGAGAGGCCGAGCCGGCCATTGGTGGCCGCGGCAGAGAAGGCGCTCGGCGCGTGGTAGGGGCCTCCCTTGGCCTGGGCCGTGCGCGGAGACTCCGCAGACTCTCCGGGAGCGGCGCGTCTGCATCGCCAGCGGCCCTGGTCTGAGTTTATCCACGGCCCGGCCGAGGCCCCGGGGACGGTGAGTTCCACGGGAGGCCGATCTGGGCCCGAGAGGAACGTTCCGGCCGAAGTGCACTTGTCCCGTAGGCCCCGACCCAGCTCCTAAGGAACAGAACGACCTCGGTGAGGTGGAAGGGAAGAGACTCAGGAGCAGAGGCCGCGCCTAAGAGATCAGCCCCGGACCCGGACCGCCTACCCGAGCCGTGGGGCAGAGGCCGAGCAGCCCCCGAAGGGGTAGGTCGTGGATCTGCGGGCCCCGAGGCAGTTCTTGATCCTCCTGCCCGAGCGAGCAGCGTTGGGTGAATACGTCCCATGTGAGGACATTCCAGAGTGTGTGATAGTGGGGGGTGTTGACCGCTTCCAGAAGAGACGAGTGCGTTGGGTTTGTGGGCGTGGGGCAGGCTGCCCTGGAAAGGGTCCTGCATGGGGAGATTGGTGAGGACAGGGTTTACTGGAGGCGAAGGGGTCATCAGCCACGGCTGAGTACATTCTGTGTGTACTCTCCCTTCGCACCCTAACATCCTTCCTCCTCCTCCTCCTGTCACCCTCTCCAGGTTCTAAACGTGTCTCTAAGTGCCTGTCATCACCTCTGGTCTCCAAGCTTATGCTGATTCCCCCTCAGTTCTGCCCTCGTGGAATCACACAAGGCACTTAACAAAACCAAAACCATTACCCTGGTGTCTGTTCTTAGTCATGATAACCCCATATGTTAAGAGAGTAGAACTACTTCATACTGTCTTGTAGGTAATCTTTACTGAAGCAGATCACCAGACCTTTCTTCCCTGGTGCTGCTGGGTGGGTTCAAACTGCCAACTTTTCAGTTAGTAGCTGAGAGCAAATTGTTTGCACCACCCTGGTACCTACACAGTGCACACAGCGCGGGAAAAGTCTGCAAGGGTTATCTCTTGCTGCCTCATTTGATAGAAAAAGAAGCTGGGCCTGAGAAGGTAGGTGACTTGTGCAAAATCGCAGAGTTTGAGATTGCTGATAGGACTTAAAGTCCCAGGTCAGTATTGTACCTGGCAGCCTGACCCCTCATGATGTCATTACTTGTGTTCTCCCCCAGGTCTGCCTTCACTCTTACTGTCCTCCACACTTTCCCAAGAGCAGCAGAAAATGGATAAGGCCCTGGTGAGTGTTTTGTTCACGTATTTATTCCCTACTTTATTTTACAATACGTTTTAGGAGGTGTATAAAGGTTAACTTTAAAATGGGAAAGTGGAAATAGAAAAAAGATGTGATCAGACAAAACATGGAGTGGCAGAACATCCCCAAGCATCTTTGCCATGTTCATGTGTAGCTGGTGTGATCCTTCAGAGCTGTTAAAGCCGAGGTGCGAATATGTCTTGTGTTCTTGACGTTCATGGCAAAAAAAAAGATAAATACCATCTGTCTCAGTTATCTAATGCTGCTATAACAGAAATACCACAAGTGGGTGGCTTTAACAAATAGAAGTTTATTTTCTCACAGTTTAGGAGGCTAGAAGTTCGAATTCAGAGTGCCTGCTCTAGGGGAAGGCTTTCTCTCTCTGTCAGCTCTGGGGGAAGGTCCTTGTCTCTTTTCAGCTTCTGTTCTTTGGTTCCTTGGAGAGCTCGTGTGGCATGGTATCTGTTGTCCCCCATCTGTGCTTGCTTACTTAATCTGCTCTTTTATATCTGAAGAGAGGATTGCTTTAAGACATACACTACACTAATACTGCCACGTTAACATAACAAAACCCTTGAGTTGATTCTTAATCTGCTCTTTTATATCTCAAAAGAGATTGGTTTAAGACACACCCTACGCTAATACTGCCACAGTAACATAACAAAGAAAGCCATTGAGTTGATTCCAACTCAAAGCAACTCGTAGGACAAGGGTAGAACTGTCCCACAGGGTTTCCAAGGCTATAAATCCTTACAGAAGCAGAGTGCCACATCCTTTTCCTACAGAGGGGCTGGTGTGTTTGAACCTCTGAGACTTGCGCTAGCAGCCGAGTACTTAACCACTCTGCCACCAGGGCTCCTATCACAGGTACAGGGGTTAGGATTTACAGCACATATTTTTGGGGGGCACAGTTCAATCCACAACACTATCCATTACTGGACTTACATTGACCATAAGAAACATTTTTGTTTTCTTATGGGTTTTGAAGATTTCCTGGGATCTGGAAGTTTTTCTTTGACTGTCTTGATGTAATTGTGAATAGCTTTACTAAATAACAACCCTTAAACCGATGCCATTCATGCTTTAAGCTTGTCTCATGTAAGCAGAGGTTGTATGGCCCAAGGAGGACTCAGTGCATGTAATTTTTCTGGTGTCTGGAACACAGTTCCATAGAAATGGTTGCCGTGTGTGTGAGAAGGGAGAATTGCTGGAGCAACCTTGAGTCTGCAAGAGGGCCTGGCAGAGTCTGTGGGTTGGGGGTAGACTGGCTCGTGGTCAGAGATGGAGTGGGACGTATGGCATTCTTTTCTGATCACTCCTCTTAGGGAATTAGGAGTCAGGCTCATCAGCTAAGAGTGAGGATGAGAGTGAGATAGTTTGTGATTACCCTGAAATGATTAAGATTTAAGTAGCAGATTGCTCAGGAATGGTTCGAAAGTTTGCCTGAGTGTCTTGACAGCGCTGCTCCATTATTGCCTTGCTTTGCGTTCTGTTCTTGAGATGGTTGCGGGGGCAAGATTCCTAGTTCAAGAGCACCCTCTTCAGTCAGTGTATGTAGGTGCAGCTTGTTTAATACTCGTAGCCCCCTATTTACAATTGGGTTTTGTTGCAACGACTCTGTCAGAAGTCAGTTCTAACGTAAGTCAAATACCTCTTTTATTTAGTTTTTATTATTATTGCTTTTTTTTGTCAATATCTTTATAAATCCGATGTTTATTTGTCTTTGGGGGTTGGAATGAACATCTGAGAATGATAACATCAGCAAATTACACACTGCAACATTGCATGTTGTATGTATTATTAAAGTGCGGTTCGTTGTTAACTCGAATACGTCTTAAGTCGGGGACTGTCTGTAGGTGATGTCGGTGGTGGTGAAGTGTGAAGAATTAGTTTGTGTTTCTTTTTCATTTCTGTTGTTAGCTGCTGCCTCTGACTCATGGTGGTCCTGTGTATAACAGACGAAAGTTCCACGTCCTGCACCATCTAACAACTATTGGCATGTTTGAGTCCTGTCAGAAAATATTCTGTTTTGATCCATAGGGTTTTTGGTACCAGGCCTATTTTCCTAGTCTGTCTTAGTCTGGAAGCTCCATTGGCATCTGTCCACCATTTGTGATCCTGCTGGTATTGGAAATACTGGTGGCATAGCTTGCAGCATCACAACAACACACAAGCCACCACAGTACAACACACTGACAAATGGGTGATGGTTTATTTCTGTGGGAGTCTTCATTTTTCCCTCTCACTGTGTCTGGAGGACTTACTGCTTTAGTTGTTTTCCTTGGGTAGGCCACATAGGTAGGGCACTAACTTTCTGACTCTTGAGTCTTTGCATGTCTGAGAGTGTCTGTCATTTTCCTGATGTGCAGGAGCTATCTTGGTGCTGGTGGCGGACTCTTGGCTTGCATTCTGTTGGTCTCAGCAGGCTCTGGCTGTGGTTTGATTATCTTTAGCCTCCAGTGATGCGTGTGTGATGTCTGACATACAGATGTCATTGTAACACACAGAACCCATCCGTTAACGTTCTCTCAGCTCTTTATCATATTACAGTCCTGTGAGGAATATTCTTTTTCTCCCAGTATTTACTAATGAAAGTCTAGCACTTAACCTTGAAATTACAGTCCTTCATCCAGAGCAGTGGAGGAGCAGGTACTCCCCACACATAAACCCAGCTCTGGTAAAGTGGTAAACAGATGTTACCGGAAGTATTCCCAGTTTCCTGCCCAGTTTTCTAGGTGGTATGGAAACATGTAACGCAGCTCCGTATTGTATTTTTAAAAAACTCTCTGGAATGTTATCAGTATGGAACGGTCTTTTAAGACCTGTCCATCATGAGTTATTCCCTTATCTTGGTGAAACTAAGCTAAAATCCCTAATATCTGCAATTCTGATTGGTTGTTCTAACAATTTGTCATCCAGGTTTTATGAAACACATTTTCTCAAATCTTAAAATGTTTTATAAAGCTTTTTTTAAGCTAGAGGAAAAGCAATACCGTTTTCTCCTTCCTTTATGCATACAAGTGAACTTGGGCCACTGCTCGGGTTTAATCGCCAAATAAAAAAATGAGTTTGGAACGTTCAGGATAGTGCCATTTTTAAGCAGCAACAATACGTGTGTTTTACGTCATTCCAGATATTTTTAAAAAAACTGATTTTTTTCTTAATGTAGTGTTTTTTTCTTCTAAGACAAAGTTAGAAACAGTTTTTAAAACCTCATAAATTGCATATTTTGTGAAATTACAAATGCAGAACCAGAAGCTTAGAGCAGGTGCACATTATTCCATGTATGCATTAAAATTAGACTGCCACTTCATGCTCTGTGCCTCTTTTAACTTCCCAGTGCTGCAGTAACAGAAATACCACAAGTGGGTGGTTTGAAAAGAACAGAAATTTATTTGCTACAGGTTCGGAGGCTAGAAGTCTGAATTCAGGGTGCCTGCTCTAGGGGAAGGCTCTCTCTCTGTCGGCTCTGGGGGAAGGTCCTTGTCTCAGCTTCTGTAGCCCCGGTATTCCTCAGTTCCTTGACAGTCTCCATGTGGCATCTGTCTTTCCCCTGTTTATGCTTGCTTGTCTCTGTCTACACTGCTGCTGCTTATAACTCACTGTTCTGTATAACTTTGCAGTGATTAGGTTTAGGACACACCCTATACTGATATGGCCTTATTGCCATAACAAAACCCCATTCCCAAATAGGATTGCATCCACATAAGTGGGGGTTAGGATTCCAGTACATATTTGGGAGGACACAATTCAATCCATAACAGTTCTCTCATTTCTTGCGTTTGGTAAGAACTTTTAATATGTAAGAAGTTAATGACTGACTCACTTGAATAATTATTTGTTTATTCATTTATTTCTTCACAAAATTGAGTATTTTCCTAGTAGCCAGGATTCCAAAAAGAATTCAGTATTCCTTCTCAGGAAGATCCCTTAGAATAATGGGAATGATATTTACAAACAAAAAACAGATAATTATGAAATTACGTAAGGACTATAGAAGTACGAATGAAATGAAATGGTATGTTTGCTTCTAAGGAAGTTTTTGGTAAAAAGATTTTACTATTTCACGTTTATCGTAGTCATAGATATATACGGTCCTTTTTCTTTTATCTCACTGTTTTTATTTGTAATACACTCTTATTTGTTTGTTTTTCTTGCCTGAATTTTCCTGAATTGATGCTTTTCTTCTCCACATTTATCCTCCTCCTTTTATGAGTGATCTGGAGGTCATTTGTCATGTTTTGACCCATTGTACAATCACTGTGTTGACAAATACCAAAGTCTAAGGTTCAGCTTGACAGACTACCAAGGAATACCCATTTGAGTGAATGAAGCTTATTTTCCTAAGAAGTAACACCAGGCAGTTATTGTCTCTCAGCAAGGCAGAGCAATGTGATATGTGAACTTTTGGGCCCCTGGCTCCTACTCAGGGCAGCTACAGATGTGGTGCCTGAATGAAGTGTGGGCAGGGCTTCTGGAAGATGGACTGTTCCCCTCCGAGACTATCCCAGTCATCAAGGGCTGGGGCTCCTCTGCACGTAGATTAGTCTGGATTGGGCGGGAGCTCCGCCTTCCACCACAGATGGCTCATCAGCCATGAAACACTCTCCAGTATGGTCACCCTTGACCACCCCAGCAAAGCCTGGTCCATGGACATTTCTGAACCTAGAGCTGAGGAGAGCAAGGGTCAATTCACCAGACATCTCAGGGAATCCTGCCAGCAGAACCCACTCTGCACTCTTCCGTTGTTTCACGTATAAAAACTCTCCAATCCACACAAGGGATTTGTCCTTATTTCAAATGGCCCTTGAGCATGACATCACTTTTCCCTTCCCCAAGCTTCCAAAACATTCCTTTCTCCATGTTTTGTTGAAATCATCTGAACTTTTTGTTTTTTAATGTAGAGATATCATTTTATAATCTCTTTTGGGAGTTGTGTGAAATTTAGTAGTCACATTACCTTTAGTTATTTAAACTTCTGTGTTTTTTGGTTAATTTTCTCTCTTAATTTGGAAAGTGATAAGATATACTGTAAATAGTCAACAATAACAAGTGTAAAACCTGCGAAAGGCGGAAATCTGTCAGAGAAGGAAGACGCAAATATTTTCTACTAAAATGAGTGATAGAAAAGTAGTAAGACTAGACCCTGTCAAAAGCGAAAAACTTGTGAGACCCGAAAAAGACAGCAGTTCCAGCTCTTAGAGATTTCACTGCAGTAGATATCGTTTATAAGTATATATAGGTAGTCCCTGATTTATGATGAGGTTCTGTTCTAATGACTCTGTTATAAGTTGGTTCTGATGTAAGTCAAATACCTGTTTTTTTTCTAAGTTTTCGTTATTACTGCCTTTAAATCCCATTTTTTGTCTTTGGGTTTGGAAGCGTTATATATAAATATTTTAATACGCATATACATACGTAAAAAATAAATCGTTGAAAAGGTCATAAGTGTGGTTTGTTGGTTAGGGACTACCTGTATTATGTCAAAAACTTAAATGCTTTATATAGATTAGTTCATTTAATATTGCGGATGTGATAGGTATCATCATTATTTATAGTTCCGAGGTGAGAAATGATAATAACCTGTTTGAGTGTGTATGGGACAGTTTATTCAGAAGATATACTTTTAAAGATATTGTTTAGATAGCTCCAGATGTTTTGTTAGGTGTCTGCCCTTGTTCAGAAATGTGCTCCTCTCCTGGAATGTGTTAATGGGAAGAAAGGGAGTTCAGGGTTCCCAGGCTGGGAGTCATGGGCGCCCTAACCACTCTCTTACTGGTAATTCATGGGGCAGCCATGGTCAAATCTGCTGTAGACTTACCATTGCAATACAGCATAAGACTAGAACGTGTGTCAGCTGATTCCGTGTGTGTGTCAGACAGGCTCTGTTGTGCAGTGCCTGACGATTTCCCAGCTACTGTCCCAGCATCCCATCCCTAGCTTCATTGGGCCATCAAGGGACAAGGTACAGGTCATCTCTTTCGGTTGGTGATTGATTTGGAGTGCATGTACAGTTACGTGTGAGGCCTTACAGCAGCAATGGTGGGGGCAAGGCGGGGAGGGAGTGGGAGTAGCTCCCTGGGCTCCAGGACAGAACTAGAAAGGTGGAGGGAGAAGTCGTTCCATTCCAGGGATGTTGCATTTGAGATCTGGGAACATGTGGAGTTCGAGAGCGAGGCCTGGGCTGATGTAAATTTGGGCAGCGTTGGCATACAGATGTTAGTTAAAACCGTGAGGCGAGCTGGTGTCACTATGAAAGCCAGGAGTGTAGATAGAAACAAGGAAAGGACCTGAGACTGAACCCTGGGCATTCCCACTTTAGGAGGAGAGGAGGGACTAGCAAAGGAGAATGAGAAGGAGCAGCCAGGGAGGTCGGAGGAGAATCAACCATGTTATTGTTCTGCAAGCAGAATGAAGAGAGGGTCCCGAGGAGTAGCATGTCTCCTATGTTTATATGAGGGGCCCTCGGGCCTGTGGTCCTCAACAACAGGTGTGTGTGCACGTCTTAGCCCCATCAGCCGGCACTGAGCCTGGCTTGCAGTGAGAGCCATTGTCGTCTGTTTTGAGTGTGCGAACCCCATGGCAGTGTGTTTATTTTCCCCACAACCTGTCATGTGGGAAAAAAAGTACACAGTTTACTTAACTTTACCAGTTAGCATGATAAAATTTTGTTTCTGTATGCCTTTTCCATGTCACTCAGTTCCAATCATGGTGCCATTATAGGGGTCAGTGTCGTTTGAGGATGTGGCTGTGGATTTCACCCAGGAGGAGTGGCAGCAACTGGACACTGTTCAGAAGACAATATACAAGGACGTGATGCTGGAGAACTACAGCCATCTAATTTCACTGGGTAAGGAGAGTTTGCGCTCTGAGTTGCTAAAATGTATGGGGTTGCTCTCAAATGTAGTCACTTTAACTGTGATGGGACAAATGTGTTTAACCTCTTTTGGGCACCAGGCAGGGCGTTTTTTGTCTTTCTCTCCCTGTTGAAGGTTCTAATTTTGGTAAAACCCAGATGGGCATGTACATGGTGCAGCTCGTATGGCAGCACATCCCTCCTATGACAGAGATCCCGAAGCCAAGCAGCAGGCTCAAGTTCTCTTCCATTTCTCATTAACAGGGCATCCCATTATCAAACCGGATGTTATCACCAAGTTGGAGCAAGGAGAAGAGCCATGGATAGTAGAAGGAGAATTCCTACTTCAGAGTTACCCAGGTGTGTTAGTGGAGGCAGTGAGGAGATTGGTAACTTCGAGGTGCTTTTTAGGGTTTTTTTTAATGGTCCCAAACCTTTAGAAGTGACTAAAGATAGTTATTTGTATGTCTTAGATACCTAAATCTCACCCTCAGCCCCTCTTTCCACACAAACCTGGTGTTACAGAGCTTTTCTGTGCTGACCACTACCCAGAATCCAGTCTCTTCCTTCCCCCTCTTCAACCCTTGGGTATTGGCTTGCTGTCTCTAGCATTTTCAATAACCGATCACCATTGATTTCTTTTGTTTTTAGGCATTCGTAAGTCCTTCATAAAAAATAATTTATGTGACTCTTATGTTCTGATTACTTTCCCTGTTTTTCTTTTCCTTTAGTGTGAAATGCCTCAGACTGGTTTCTATCGCCAGTTTTACGTTTCTCATCTCTTTCTTTGAGGTCAGATGCCAAGTCCTCATCCTGTGCCTAAGCCGATAAAGTCTTCCCTTTGTCGTTGTGCGCAGTTTTGCTTCATCTGATGGCGCTGTTCGTTGTTCCTGATATCCACCCCTTCTTCAATTTGATGACCGCAGTAATTGGGTCTCCCTCTTTCCCCCAGGTGTTTGTTTTTATCTTGTCTCTTTTATTTACTGTTCTGTTCCGTTGCCTCAAATAACGTCTTGTCAGAGCAGGTACTCAATATTAAATATGTGCATTTTGAGTCATTTACTCCCCTTTTTCATCCTCCAGGAATGTCTCTGAAGGATCTGTTTCTACTTTGTGTGATTTTCCTTGTTTCTGAAGTTTCTCAAAGGGCTTCTCCAATCTTAGGCCTGAAGAATTGCTATTTGTTTTTATACTATTTATATCTAGATTGATGCCTCTAACACCATTGTCTAACCTGTGCTATAGTCCAGTATTTTCTGTGATAGCCGTATAGCACTTTCTTTGTTCTCATCGTGTCTGAAATGAAATCAGGAGTTTTTCCAAATTATGACTACTATTCACCTTTTCCACCTCTTTTTATTTACTAAATTATACTTCTTTTGTCTTACTTATTAGTGGCTACTGTGGAATCATCTCAGAATATCCGCTTCTCCTTAAGTATTACTGATCTCTTCACGATTATTGGTTTTTGTTCCATGTGAAGTGTCCTCATTTATTCTCTGCATAGTCTTAGTTTCCTTTGACGTAACGTAAACAAAAGCTTTATTCTGGCATGGCCGGATTACTGAGTCCTAATTGAGTTTGTAAGATGTGTTCATCTGAAATCTCCAGTTGATCTTATCATTGGCATCAAGAGATAAGCCTATAGCTATTCCCTGTTACTTCCTAACCAAAAAAACCAAACCAGACTCATTGTCATCAAGTCGATTCCAACTCGTAGCGACCCTATAGGACAGTAGTACTGCCCCATAAGGTTTCCAAGGAGCGCCTGGTAGATTCGAACTGCCGACCTTTTGGTTAGCAGTTGTAGCTCAACCACTACGCCATCAGGGTTTCCATTACTTCCTAAAGGGAGTTTAAATTCCTTATCCTTTGAAGATCTCCACAATATGGCCCTGTCAAAATTCATTCTCTCCTTTTTCCCAAAACTCTCACTAAACACCATTTGGTCCAAAGCCTTAAATGCATTCTGTTCACGTGCTTATTGTCCCTACAACTTTACATTTTGTTAGGGCGTTTTTTACTTGATAACACATTTAAGTCCAAGCTCAAATTTTTTAACTCTTCCTTGAAGTTTTTCCTTCCCTACTCTATCATCACTACATCTCTTCCTTCTCTTAAATTTGATTCTACCCAGTGGCAGTACCTTAAAGAAAATTAGGTCTGATCGTGTAGTCTGTTACTTGATTATATATTTTTTCGCTTGAGTTTTTTTCCTCCCCTGGGCTATGATTCTGTAAAGAGAAGGGTGTTTTTTTCTCTCTTGCTGTAGGATGTAACATATAACAGACATTTATTTCTTGGATTATCTAAGGAGCTAGGTAGGTGAAAGAACTTTCTAATCTATCCAGAAATAACTTCTAAGTGATTATAAACGTACAAGTCTAGGTCACACCCCCATATATTCTGCAAGTACTTAAAAGATTCTCGTATAATTCAGGTTAAAAACAATTTCTTTAATTTCTACTTAGGGATTGAAATGAAATAGAAAAGAGTCATACATTTTAGAAGGTAGGTTTTGGTTAAGAAAAGAGAACAAAGCTGTGTGAAGTAGTTTAAAACTCAGCATTTTACATGAAATGTTTCTGTTCCAATGCAAGGTTGGAGCACTTTGTGCTAAAATTATTTTATGGATAGTATTGTTTTCTACTACTTAAGAGGAAATGGAGCTAAAAGAAGTAGGATTTATTTTTATTTTTTAAAGCATGGAAAAATAGTTCCCCCAGAAGATAGATTTTGAGTAGATTAAGATTGGAAGTCAAGCAAATGAGTAAAGCAATAAGAGCACAGACCTGTGGTAGAAAAGGAGCTGGGGCAATTACTGGGTACCAATAACTTGGTTTCCTAGAGCAGAAGTTATTAACTTTTTGTAGTCTAGTATAATGCTAGTTTGGAATCATATTGTGAATCCAGGTAGTGAAAATTATTATTTGTCAGAATTTTTTTTTTTTCTATTTCATACGTTGATATTTTGGCAGTAGGCTCGGAATTTGCAGCTTTTGGAGGACAAGGTTGATACAGTTTTACTTAGTGTGGATGGTAGATAGCAAGTACAATAGTCAAGTCCATCCAAAAATTTATAAGGTGTAAATAAAAATGAAAATCACTATTTTAGGAGGAGGTTGAGGAACCTCAGTCTTAAAGTTTCTTCATTGAATGAAACTCAGAGGAGCCGGGAAGCACTGTTCACATTCAGAATTAAGTGACTGTAGCACACGAGAGACAGGACTGGTCAGGAGATTGAAAATGGCAAAAATAATTGTTATGCTTATTGAGTATATATCTTGTGTCAATTTCTGTACTGAGTACTTTATTAATTTATATAATCCCACAACAACCCTATGAGATGGGTACCATAATCCCCTTTTTACAGGTGGATGAAACTGAGTCACACAGGGTATTCAGTAACTTGCCCTAGGTCAGCTAGCCAAAGTTTATGTTGTGTTGTCCAAACAGGAAGAAGTATAATTTGATGGTCAGAATGAGTTCAGTATTAAATCATAACATCATTAGAATGTTTAAGATATGTGAAACTTTTGAAAGGATAGCATTCTCTGTGATCTGTTTAATACTTCGAGTTGGACTTACATGTTCCTGGGACTCTCTTTTCAAGTGAAACTGAATTATAGTTAGAGCCCAGATTATAGGATTATTCCTCTAAACACGAAGACGTTTGAGTGAAAGTTTATTTGACACTACTGTACAGAATAGGGAGAAAAGAGTATTAATGGATCTAGACTAATGAAGATGCTACTACAAAAGGCTCGTTACAAGGTGATAATGTTTTAGATTGTAGTCTATCCCTCCCAATTTGATGGAAATAAGGTATAAAGTTTAAAAACTAATCCATACCTGGAGACCATCTTGGTCCAGCAGCAGTCTTTGTCATCCTGTCAGTTTTACCCCATTTGGTGTGAGTCTTTTCATATCTGCCTTGTCAGCCATTCGTCCAACATCCTTTGTCTTCTGATCGTTGTTTATATTTCCCTTCTATGCTCAGTTTTGAACAAAATTTTACAAAGTAGCAAAGAGCAGGTACTTGTGTTTTTTTTTGTTTTGTTTTGTTTTAATCAGTTTGCTTCCCGCCTTTCCCCACCACTGGAGATTGTGTGTTGTTCCAAACCAAAAGAATTAAGGAAAAAGTACACTTAGAATTATTTTTATCTGTCCATGAAGCCATCACCTACCCAACGATAAGATACTTAATGTACAAATTTCCTTCCATATCTTATGTAGGGAGATGTACAATGTTCTGTTAATTTTTCTTCTTTTTAGAAGAAGCCTATAAAGTTGATGACTTGCTAGAGAGAGTCCAGGAAAATGAAGAGGAACTTTCAGGGCAAACGGTATTCATCAACAACAAGACCCAGGTGGAAGAGAGAGGTAATATTCTTGATAAAACTTTCAATGTGGAAACAAGCCCTGATCCTTCAAGAAAAATCTCCTATAAATGTGATTCATGTGAGAAGAATTTAAAGTCTATTTCAGGGTATATTACTAGTGATGGAAGCTATGCAAGAATGAACCCTGATGAATGTAGTGGATGTGGGAAGTCACTTCTGCATATTAAGCTTGAGAAAACTCATCCTGGAGATCAATCGTATGAATTTAATCAAACTGGGGAAGCTGATACTCTAAATGATGAAAGTATTTATCAGAAAATTCATATTTTGGAGAAACCCTTTGATTATATTGAATGCCAGAAAGCCTTCCAAACAGAGACAGTTTTTGTTAATCATATGGAGGAGAAACCCTGTAAGTGGAATGAATCTGAAATAGCCTTCCTGCAAATGTCGAACCTTGGTGTACATCAGAGCTCTCATATGGAAATGAAGCCCTATGAATGCAGTGAATGTGGGAAATCCTTCTGTAAAAAGTCAAAATTTATTATACATCAAAGGACTCACACAGGAGAGAAACCTTTTGTATGTAATCAGTGTGGGAAATCCTTTTGCCAGAAGGGAACTCTCACTGTACATCTGAGAACACATACAGGGGAGAAGCCTTATGAATGTAGTGTATGTGGGAAAACATTCTACCAGAAGTTACACCTCATTCAACATGAGAGAACTCATTCAGGAGAGAAGCCCTATGAATGTAGCTATTGTGGAAAATCCTTTTGCCAAAAGACCCATCTCACACAACACCAGAGAACACATTCAGGAGAGAGACCTTATGTTTGTCATTACTGTGCAAAAACTTTCTCCCAGAAGTCAGCACTTAATGACCATCATAAAATTCACACAGGTGTGAAACTCTATAAGTGTAATGAATGTGGGAAATGCTTCTGCCGCAAGTCTACTCTTACAACACATCAGAGAACACACACAGGAGAGAAACCCTATGAATGTAATGAATGTGGAAAATTTTTCTCTCGGTTATCGTATCTCACTGTACATTATAGAACTCATTCAGGAGAGAAACCCTATGAATGTAACGAATGTGGGAAAACCTTCTATCTGAACTCAGCGCTCATGAGACATCAGAGAGTACATACAGGAGAGAAACCCTATGAATGTAATGAATGTGGAAAATTATTCTCCCAGTTGTCATACCTCAATGTACATCATAGAACTCATTCAGGAGTGAAACCCTATGAATGTAATGAATGTGGAAAATCTTTCTACCAGAATTCAGCCCTTTGTAGACATCAGAGAATACATAAAGGAGAGAAACCCTATGAATGTTATATATGTGGGAAATTTTTCTCTCAGATGTCATACCTCACTATACATCATAGAATTCATTCAGGAGAGAAACCTTATGAATGTAGTGAATGTGGGAAAACCTTCTGCCAGAATTCAGCCCTTAATAGACATCAGAGAACACACACTGGAGAGAAATCATATGAATGTTATGAATGTGGAAAATTTTTTTCGCAGATGTCATATCTAACTATACATCATCGAATTCATTCAGGAGAGAAACCCTTTGAATGTAACGAATGTGGAAAAGCCTTTTCTCGGATGTCATACCTCACTGTACATTATAGAACTCATTCAGGAGAGAAACCCTATGAATGTAATGAGTGTGGGAAAAAATTCTATCACAAGTCAGCCTTTAATAGCCATCAAAGAATTCATAGGAAAGGGAACATAAATGTAATTGATGTGGAAAGGCTTCTTTGAAATCAGATCTCATTTTATATTATAGAACCTTTTCAATATAATGAATAAGAAAATCTTACCCGGAGTCAAATACTATTATATATCAGAGAATTCACACAGGAAGTGGAAAAGCCGTTGTGCATTAGTCAGACTTGTAATCTAAAAATTCACACAGTGGAAACCTTCCACAAGATCACACAACTCACTGGATACCAGACTGTACAGGAGTAAAAACTTATATTTAGAATGTGTGTAAGTTTTCGCTATGGATTCAAAATATTCAGTACATCAGGGAATTCATACCAAGGAAAATATCAATTTAAGGAATGTGGAAAACATACTGCACATTTGAGAATTACTAATACTACTTTTGGGAATTGTTAATACTAAAAGATAGGTTTCAGATACAATATCAAACTTCTGGTAAAAAAAAAAATCTGTAAATAGACATTCTGTAAATAGAAGCTGTAAAATCATTAGGATAGTTCATGAAAACAGCAACATTAAACATCTAGGAGCAGTTCCTGTGGTATATAGGGCTTTTATTTATTTAGTTTTTTAGGATGCTACATTACAGGAATTGTATGTTTGAAAAGGCAGAGTATCCTCATTAGATGATATGGTAAGATTATCCATTCTAAATAGCACCACCATGTTAATACCTTAATATAGATAGTCATTGAAATAATATCTGACAGGCATAAAGTATACTTTTAGGTGTGTTTTGTTATTAATGAACTGAATCTTCTGTAAAGAAGCTAGTGGTTTTATAACATTTTCAACTGTATTTGAGTCAGCAAAGGATATAGAAATTTATGCATAAAATAGAAAACTCTGTATAATTTTATATTGTTAATGCCAGAAGTTTCCATGGGTAAAACACAGCTGTAGTACGCATTGCCCTCTGTCCAGTTTAAAAACGAATGTAAAATGTCCCCATTTTTGTATATTGTTTATATGTGTTTTATTTGAATGTCTACATAAGTGTGTAGAGCACGAATAGTATGTAATTTAGGAATTACTTGTATTTTTATTTGATATGATAGCTTTTGAACATTGTGTATGTTCCTTCTTATTAGTGAATTAATTCATAACACATTAATATGGGCTTGTGGCAGACATTGTTGAGTGACTACCCTAGTCATTCCCTTCTTTTTGTTTACTGGCAAAATTTGGATGTCTGCTCCTCTCAAGAGTTGGGATAAATCCTGACTCAGTAATGAAAATCCCATTTTCATTGCCAGTGATCGGTTTAGTGTAGTCATAGGACCCAATTCTAGACAAATAAGGGAATATCTGTTACATTATTTCTGGAAAAGTTTTCCTCAAAGGTTTAAGGAATCCTGCAGGGTTAAGTGGAATCTTAGTTTTCAGTGAACATTACCTTGTCTGCATATGATGCCTGGTTATGTCTCTCAGCAATGACAGGGCAGAAAGACTGGGAGAACCTGGGATCTGGATGATGTTATTGAGCCACCGACCTGGCCAACTTTGTAGCCACTCCACCTCTGGACTATTTCTTTTGTGAGAGACGAAACCTTTTTAAGCCAGTTGATTTAGTGTGCTCTGTTATTAATAGCTAAAGACATTCTATCTGAAGTTATGCGATTCAGAAGTGGACTTTGGGGAAATCATTTATTTTGCACTGTTGATAAAAAGATTTTCTTTTTGTAAATTTCGGTGTAAATAGATTGAGCATTAGAAGTTAACTTGAAATGATTGTGTATGTTTCAATGAACTGTTACATTATTAATCTAAGAAATTAACTTTTGGAATCTGACATAGTGTCAGGTATAACTTTTTTTATAATACATGAAGTCTTGTTTGAGTTAATTTAATTTGTGTTGTTCATTGGTCATTGCTGCAGTGTTGACAATACATTGTTGAAGTAAGGATCTAATTTTGTTTGCTTTCAAATGCCTAGACTGATAGCCTGTACTAGTCAAATAATTTATCCCTTTACCACTAAGATGAAATGCCATATTTTTTATGTAGTAAAATCCACATAGATCCCGTTTTTGTTGCTCAGCACTTTTTTTCCATATTCTTCTAGATGATCGTGAGTATGCTACATAACAGGAACTAAACGTCTGGTAGAGTGCATAGTTTTGTGTAAGCAATATGTATTCATAATATAGTTGTTGGAATAATATTTACAAAGATTTTTCTCATTAGTGTATCATTATAGCTTAACTCTACCGTATGCATATTAAGTAAAGTATTTTTAAAGTGAAAAAGGTCTCCATTCTTTTTCTTCTAGAGATTGCCTGCGTGTAAAAGGGTCTGGTACCTGTAAGTGGTCCTAAACTGCCTGTTCAGTAATGTAGCCATTGTGAAACATTTTCATAGTTTCAGAGCTGCAAATGTTTTTATGTTACTCCATCTTTGAAATTAGGATCAAGAGCATGTTCTAATTTAATTGGCATTGTTTTTATTTTTCCTTAGAGGTACTTAAAACAATGGTTTGTCTTAGATTTGATGAAATACAATATTTGAAAAATGTTTAGCTGTTCCTGGAAGAGTGTAAGATACATAGGCCTCCATGAAAAAAGCACTAAGGGATGCTGGCTCAGCCTACCTGTCCTATAGCAAGGACTGAAAATGGAATTGATGGAGGTGAGCATGGCACCTGCTTTTTATGCACAATGATCTCATAACTTGGAGTGTGATTAGATCGGCAACTCAAAGAGTGATTTTCAAGAACTGAGCAGACCTTCCTGGCAGGTAGAGGTAAGATCCTCCTAATTTTTTCAGTCATCCCAGGATTAGTGAAATGGTTCTATAGTTTCTAAAATAGGTCATAATGAAGACATGATATTAACACCATGTACACATTAGTTTTGAGGCTGAAGATTGACCCTGTATTCTTTATTCCATCTTAATATGCCTGGCTAGTTGTTCAGTCAGTCTCCCTGTCTCAATTATTTAGTGCTGCTGTAACAGAAATACCACAGGTGGGTAGCTCTAAGAAACATATTTATTTTTCTCACAGTTTAGGAGGCTAGAAGTCCGAATTCAGGGTGTCAGCTCAAGGGAAAGATCCTCGTCTCTGTTCCTCAATTCCTTGGTGATCTTCATGTGGCCTGGTATCTATCTTCCCCCATCTCTGCTTGCTTGCTTGACCTATTCTTTTATGTCTCAAAAGATATTGACTTAAGACATACCCTACACTAATACTGTTTCATTAACATAGCAAAGAAAACCCATCCCCAAATGGGATTATAGCCAGATATAGGGGTTCGGATTTACAACACATACTTTGGGGGGACACAGTTCAGTCCATAACACTCCCTAAAGAAGGCTATATAATAAGCCACATGATTGTGCATCCCAAATAATTGCCAGCTTTATAGAATGCCTCAAAACAAAAGCCCACAAGGAAATATATTTTTTAAATTGCGTTGCTATTTTTTGCTTAGTATGAAAATAACTGTAATAAGTTAATTATTTTTCCCCTCGTTGAATTTAAAGTCTATGGTTCCTGCCGAATTGACAGATGAGCATGGGATAACTTTATTCCATAGCCCAAGCCTGGAGATGCCATAGTCGTTTACAGCAGCTTATGGAACCAGAGAACTAAATGTGAAAAATCCCTGGAAGAATAAAGGGTAGGTGCAGTTTTTTTGTGGTTGTAACTGCTCAATGTTTTGGCCACTTTACTTTCAAATATACTCCCTACGTTGAAAGAATACCCCACCTTATGTGTATCTGCATCACATTGTAGAACTCATTTAATATAACAGACTGCTAGTTGTTCCCCGTCTTAGTTTTTTTTTAAAGAAATTCCTCCTCCATCTAGTTTCAGCTGGAGACTTCCCAAATTTTCTTTCAGTTAGGAAAGCTTAGTTTTGGCCAGTGAGATGCGAGGGGAGATAAATGAAATAGAAAACAGATAACAGAATCAACGAAACGAAAAGTTAATTGAGGAGATCAATGAAATTAACAAACCTTTAGCTACACTGACTTAGAAAAAAAGAACATTCAAATTACTAAAATCAAATGAAAGTGGGGACATTAATGCAGAACCTTACAGAAATAAAGATCGCAACAGAATACTATGAACAACTGTACACCAACAAATTAGATAACCTAGATGAAATGCACAAATCCTAGAAACACTACCAAAACTATGTCAAGAAGAAATAGAAAATCTGAACAGACTGATAAAAAGTAAGGAGATTGAACAAGTAATCAAAAACTTCTAAACAAAAGCCCTGGACAAGATGGCCTCACTGGTGAATTCTAGAAAACATTTAAAGAAGAATTAATCCTTCTTAAAGTCTTCCTAAAAGTAAGAGGAGGTAAACACTTTGGAACTCATTCTTTGAGGCTTTTTCTTGTCCTTCAGTTTTCTCTGATTCATAACGACCTTATGTGTAACACAATGAAGTCTTGCCCGGTCCTGCACCATCTTCATGATCATTGATACGTTTGAGTCCATAGTTGCAGCTATTGTGTCCATCTCATTGAGGGTGTCCCTCATTTTTGCTGACGCTAAAAACCAGTCACCACCTGCAGGGAAGGAACTTCAGAGGGATTTCTGCTAGCACAGAAAGGAGAGAACTTGCTGAGAAAATGGGGTTTAGCAGATCACAAAGGCATCATCCTGAGTAGTAGAGAGATGCATGTACAGTAGGGGAGTTTCAAAAGTTGTAGATGGGTGGGATTAGGGGTCTGGACAGAGATGAATGTGGATTCAAGCATGGCTTGAGAGATTTAGTGAGCACCATTTATATCTGGAGGCAGGTGGGAGGGAGGGGCTGTGAGTGGTCCGGCAAAGACGGGTCTTCCAGGATCACACCTACTGAGGGACACATTGGAGGGCTATGTGCTGTGTTGTTGTACTGGGTTGAATAGTGTCTTCAAAATTCATGTCCCGTGAATGTGACCTTATTTGGAAATAAGGTTGTTTGCAGATGTAATTAAATGACTGGTGTTCTTACAAGAAGGCAACATGAAGAACACACATACACGGGAAGGCCATGGAGATAGAGACTGGAGTGAAGGTGCCACAAGCCTGGGTCAGAAGCTGGAAGAAGGAAGGATTCATCCCTTAAGCCTTCAGATGGATTATGTTCCTGCATCCCCCAAGAACTGTGAGAAAATAAATTTCTGTTGCTTTGAGACACCCATTTTGTGGTAATTGAACTATTATGGCAGCCCTAGGAAACTAATACACTTAGGCCAAACACGAGTCTGGGAAAATGGAAATCTGGGGTGAAACACCTGTGAGCTTGTGCAGTGTGATCCTAGGCAGATCATCATGTCACCTTTCTGAGCCTTGGTTTCAATATTGGCTACAACTAAGATAGTACTATGACCTCACAGGGCGATTATGACAATTAGTTCAACTACTTGAAGGAACGTATCAAAGAGTTTTATAACAGCAGTGAACATTTTTTGGTGCCTGGCGATTGAAGGTTTGCCTGGGCTGACTTATACAGAAACCCCAAAACAGCACCACAAGGGGTATTAATCTTTAATAAATAATAAAACATATTTCTTAGATGCCCAATGATCATAATACAGACAAGGTACCTTTTATATGCATGAACAAGAAATGTGCAGAGTTTATATGAAAAGAACTGTACAACTTTGCTGAATAGAATTTGTAAAAATTTTGTAAAGAATTTGTAAAGATACACATCACTTATTTGAATGTGACTACTAAATATTTGACACAATGCAAATAAAAAAATAACTTTCAAGGATGACTTTGAGTTTTCTCTGATGACTCTAAACATCTAGAATAATAAAGTAGGAAAATAGAAAGTTTTTGTAAAAGAGAGTAAGAGCTTGTTAGCTGCCGTTGAGTTGGTTTTGACTCATAGCGACCCCATGTACAACAGAGCAAAACACTGCCAGGTCCTGCGCCATCCTCAGAATTGTCGCTGTTTGAGCCCATTGTTGCAGCCACTGTGTCAGTCTATCTTTTTGAGGGTCTTCCTCTTTTTCACTGACTCTCTGCTTTACTAAGCATGATGTCTTTCTCCAGGGACTGGCACCTCCTGATAACATGTCCAAAGTGTAAGGCAAAGTCTCACCATCCTCGCTTCTAAGGAACATTCTGGCTGTACTCCCAAGACAGATTCGTTTGTTCTTTTGGCAGTCCATGGTATATTTCAGTATTCTTCACCAACACCATAATTCAAAGGAATCAATTCTTTGGTCTGCCTCGTTCACTGTGACATGTTTACTTTTGAACACTTTAAAGAAGTCTTTTGCAGCAGATTTGCCCAATGCAATATATCATTTGATTTCTTGGCTGCCGCTTCCATGGGCATTGATCGTGGATCCAAGTAAAATGAAGTCCTTGACAACTTCAATATATTCTACATTTATCCTGATGTTGCTTCTCAGTCCAGTTGTGAGGATTTTTGTTTTCTTTATGTTGAGGTGTAATCCATATTGAAGGCTGTAGTTTTTGATCTTCATCAGTAAGTGCTTCAAGTCCTCTTTTCAGCAAGGTTGTCATCTGCATATCGCAGGTTGTTAATGAGTCTTCCTCCAATCCTGGTGCTGCATTCTTCATATAGTCCAACTTCACAGATTATTTGCTCAGCATACAGATGGAATAAGTATGGTGAAAGTATACAACCTTGATGCCCACCTTTCCTGATTTTAAACCACACAGTATCTCCTTGTTCTGTTCGAACAACTGCCTCTTGGTCTATGTACAGGTTCTGCATGAGCACCATTATGTGTTCTGGAATTCCCATTCTTCACAATGTTAATCCATAATTTGTTATGATCCACACAGTTGAATGACTTTCCATAGTCAATAAAACACAGGTAAACATCTTTCTGGTATTCTCTGCTTTCAGCCAAGATCCATCTGACATCAGCAGTGATAGCCCTCATTCCACATCCTCTTCTGAATCCGTCTTGTATTTCTACAGGTCCCTACAGCTGCAACCGTTTTTGAATGATCTTCAGCAAAATTTCATGTGCATGTGATATTA